TTTTTCCTACAATTCACGAGTTTATTAAATTTTTAACGCAACTATAAATGCATCAGCACTTTTAAAAGTATTATTATATATTTTCCAATAATAATGGATCATTCGTAAATTTTTCCGAAATAATCTTCGGACTCTCTGCAAACGCGAGTTTCTCTCCGGGAACAAATATGATTCATAAGTCGAAAGTGAGCACAAGCACGTACCGAATGATCGTCTTTATCAATAAACGTGATTTTTTTTAGTTAACTGATCTATCGGACGACACACATTTGAAACGAGCTAGAATATGCTCTTAGCAATCTGTCCGCGATGTTAGAAGTAGCTGAGCATATAGAGCTGCTTTGAAAGTGAGATTAATCGTGCGAGACCTATGCTTACGTCTGAGTCATAAGAATCTCGCAATTATAATGCCATAATTGAATTACGTTGCTTTTCAATCACGCACATATACAATATACAGAGAGTATTATTTATCTTGCTATCCGGCTTTGAAGCCGGTTCCGGGATATTTTACTCCTTTCTCGGGTAAAAAACTATTATAAAGTAAGTAGTTACATTCAATATAATTTTTTTCTTTTTCAAAAAAAATAAATTAGAAAAAATATTTATTTTTTAATTTTTTTATCTGATCAAAAATTAAATTTATGATTTAATAATCAAGTTAGAAAAATCTAACAAATAATAGCTATTCATCATATTTATAATAACAATTTTCGTGTGACAATATATGAATCATATACAATATAATAAATTACGAATTTTTATAAAGATGTGAATTATCTTTCAACGCAAAGACAGTCAAATTCTTGAAATCATAAAATGTTTTCGATGTTCATACTTTTTTTCTTCGCTTACGTTACGTAACCAGAAATTAAATGAAGACGCACAGGGGTTATTACATCGAGATGGATTTCTCATGCGGATTCTACAACAGACGAGCAAGATGACTATGAACGCCGCAAGAGATGCAAGAGCCATGTCCGCAATTTACCAATTATGAGAGCGAAAGGTGACATTAGAGATGACTTTGAGCTTCGAATGTCGATTCCCGTCCGTCTCATCCCTCGGAACAATCCTACATTCGCGCGGTTGCATATGAATAATTATGTAAACCGCCCGGAAACATTTAATTGACGCTTAATTATTGGCATTATTGTTATCGCGTGGTAATATTATGATCATAGAAATGTGGCGGAAAATCCTAAATCGGATTTTTCGGACGTGGAAGACGATTCTGTTCGCATGTGATTGCATGAATTTTTAACGAGCTACGAAATAAATAAAAAATATTTTTCATCGATGATAATATGTACGGAAAGATATATTTTTTTCGAAATTCTTATTCATACATTTTATAATATATTCGAACATAAAAAAATTTTTTTAACTGTTTGCAACATCTACTTTATTGCAGTTATCTCGAGAAATATAAGAGAAAAGGATGGCTTGGTAATTTATTCTCGAAGATATTGATGACGCTAATCGCTTTTGAACAAGTAGCAATTTACTCGGAATGCTGAAAAGAAGCCATAAATGATGATGCGCAACAACTCATCGTCTAATAATGCATCATTAACTCATTGTGAAGAAACTAATAATTTTGCGATGAAATCGACAGCTTTATAGCGTGAATATTCTGACTGGCGTTAATCTAAGCAGACAGAAGATGACAAATAATTACTCATGTTGGATTGCTTCAAGTCTTTTTTTTTTTACGCTCTTTCGTACTTTCCGCAATTGCGTCTTGTCAATTTGGCGGAGGAACATTAATTAAATGTATACTGATATGTAGTCTCAAATTACAAATTTGCGCGATTGTAATCTTTTCAAACTGTGATAATATTTATATTATTTGTGTCTTCGAGTAAATTGAAAAACAGAAAATAACCGTGCAAAGCAATTTTCATATATCTTTATGTATTGTTTAAATAATGTTTCCTGCTGTTTAAATGTCGGAAATTACATTACAATATTGTTCAAATTATAAATTTAAAAGCTGTCCAAATTTTTCCTATCTAATCGTACAAGAAAAAGAACATTATGCAAATACAAGTGTCTGTCCAAATCATTTTATCTCACGTTACAATCAAATGTATTATATATTTGTCTTTGAGAAAAAAATTCATTTAATTTTGTTATACCGTATATATGTAACATGTATATCTATCAAGAATTTAAACGTTTATCGTCAAAATGATAATCAATCTATCTACTTGTTTCTTTCAAACAGTAATTCTTTTTCTTTATTAACTAATAATGTTAATAGAATTTATGGAATACAGATTTATTAAACTTACGTGACACACAGGCGGAGCTATTTAAGAAAACAGCCATATTTCATGAAAAACGAGTAATAATATAATTTACGACAATTCGATCTGCTATTATTGCGATATTGTATTTACAGGAATGCACTAAATCGTGAGTTTAAATGGTACACGATGGTACCATCGCAAGGGGTTCGACCCGCATAATTACAACGACGATCGATACTACCTGGCTACCTTATCACGGTCATTGTTCACGATGCTCCAGCGATGCAACGAACGAGCCGCCTTCCGTTTCGCGAAACAAACGTTCCGACTCGCGGCCTCGAAATAGTTGCGTTGTTATACTAACGCGATATATATCTTGCGATTACGTACCCCTTGTTTAAAAACGTGACGGACGATTACGTGGAATTAGAAATACGTGTTCATACGTATCCGGTTCGCATCCATTGGACGATTAACGAGCACGTTTATTCTTTCCATTCTCAGCCTTCGAGAGCCTTACAGATATCGTTCTAATTAGATATTAATATCCGCAAATCTAATTAGAGGTATGTCTGCTAAAAATATTTATATGCCTCTCTACATCCTTTCAAACACATTTAAAATTTTTTATACAGAATATTTTTATCTTTTCTCTTTCTTTTGGCTGAAAAAATATTTTTTTATTTCGTGCAAATATAATATGCGTGAAATATAAGTTGATACCAAATATATTTCGATTCCGTGTAAATATTCTCATTGTAAGTGTTGTAAATAAAAATTTTTGTTAAATACTATCTTTTGCGATGAAAAATCGACAGCTTTTTGCGGAACGTAGATCAGTCACGCATCGATTTCGACAGGTAGGTAGCCAGATGCGCGAATTCCGTTCCTCTCGAAAGATATTTTCTACCTGCCTGCGGTTGTGAAAATTTGGGTGCCAACGTGACTCATCGTGCACGATGACTAATTCCATTGAGTAATTCGAGGGGATCCGAGCCGAGGGAAATCGAAGGAATTCCTTCTCTCATCGAGTGGTGCAACGCGAATGCACCAAAGAAGATCGAGCAAAAGAAGGAAAGAAAGACAGAAAGAATGCATATATGTGAACTCTCTCGGCGCAACTCGCTGCCTAATGACCGAGTGTTATTAAGCCGATTATAGAGCATCGATAGCGCGCGATGCACTTATGTCAGATCTCGACCGACAATGAGAAAGCTACTTGCGCTGATCATAATCACGGTATTCGCGCACTTGGTGACCTTGATGGTATCCGTACCACCTTGCGAGCCTTGAACTTGCACGTCGAAGAATCTCGTACGAACGAAACTTGGCAACGGTCCAAATCGATCTATTTAAGACTACGATGGGAATTGAAGAAAATCGTGTACGTCTTTCTTCGTTTTTTTCTTTCTCTCTCTCTCTCTCTCTTCCTCTGAAATTTTTGCAAGGCTTCGTACCTGGTGTATCTTACATTCAGAGCTAAGACTATGACTACGTCCAAGCCAGAAAAAGAGGCACTTTATAGCGATCGATCAAACATTCGGCGCGCTCATCGATCGAGTCAACTGCCTCGTGGCAAAAAATGCATTAATATTGTTTGACATTTAACACTGAATAATGGTAGATTCATTGTCACGATATTTTTATTTTAACAATTCTTTTAATAATCTTATATATAGTATATGCAATGTTTTCACTTCCGGTATCGTCGAACGCTTTTACATGAAGAATCATCGCGTGAATCATCTAAGAATATTTCCTCCATGAGCAATTTTTTGATCATTATTAGCCGATAAAGGTCAAATAATCGATTCAAGCGCGTTACTCATTTTCTTTCGAGACGAGCGTTATTATTTAATCATTACACCCGCGGCGAGTCGTAATAAAAGTTCCGTTATTGCATTAATGTTCTATGATGGTGAATGCGCATTATTGTCTATCGTGCCTCGCGGGGATGAACATCACCGTCACAGAAAGCAATATGATTTCGCAATACGCTATCCGTTTCGATCGGGAGATGCATTCGCGTAGATCTGACGCATCCTGTTATGCGCGATTTTTTTTCACAGCCTTTGGCATGATCGAAGGCAAGATCCGATCTATGTGCGCGTTACTCGTTTCCGGGTGCGTGCTTCAGACCATTAGAAGAAGCTTAATCCCTCCCTTTTCTCCCGAAATTAATTAATTATTTTCTCCCTCTTATTTTTACTTTTTTTTATTTTTCTCGAATAATATTTTAGTTTATATTTTTAACCAAAAAATAGAGTATTCTTCTACTTATTTCTATATACTTATCACTAGATAGTATGCAGTCACATATCTTTATTGGCTCTGCCTGACCCCTTTTTAAAATAAAAAAAAGCACTTTTTATCGCCGATAACTCATAAAGAGCTATCCTGAAGACCTCCTGGCGTCTCGTAAAAATCGTTTAACGGGTTAAAAGAGAGAAGAAGAAGGAGAGGCCCGGCGCGGCGATTCCGCACGCGGCTCCGCTCCGCTTAGGAATTCCTCGCCGGGCGGATACACCTTATCGCGGCTCGTCTTTCGCGAGGAGCTATCCCCTTCGGCGCAGGTTATCCGTGGGGGCCTTCAGGTGGGAGGTGGAGTCACGGGTGACGAGCCTCGGTAGGGCCCCCGTCGTCGGCAGGTAAGGTAGACCAGGTAGGGGCCCCCTTTCCCGGGCTCCCACAGCATACACGTACTCCCGGTGTAACATTGGACCCCCACTTGTGACCGGCGATGACCATCATCGAGACCGTGGCGTCTCGCCTCCTACAGTTGCAGTCGGCGCACCATTCCGCGAGCACGCGACATTCCGCGCCGCGGCGGATACCGCGAGATACCCGGTATATTCTCGGTATTTACACCGATTGACTCTCGGAAAAAATATATAATTCTAATTTCGAGTGGGGAAAAAAAACGAGGGAGACTCGACGGTCGCAACCCTCCGCCTGTATCTAATCGCGGTATATATATAAACACTTCAGATGATAGATATTTTTGCGCGAGTACGCGTATTTGAAAGTGAGAAATTCAAATACCGCTACTTCTGGAATTTCGACAGAACGCATTTTTTTGGGGGTCCAAGATTTACGAATCTTGAAGTCGTGCCTATGGTGTATTTGCGCTACTTATATTAATGAATAATTTGTACTTACTCGAAGATCAGCGAGCTCGCAGGATCAACATTTGCATCGCTTGAATCCGTGTTTTGTTGTTTAAATTGCGGAAAATTCAGTGCTATGTTTCTCGGTGCTACCCTGCAAACATCAACAGTCATTAGTTAATAGAGAGAATATTATAGTTAATCGATTGAGAGAAAAAAGTGATATTCTCCAGAAAAAAAATACAGTGAGTAATGATGAGACATCAAAAATATCGTGTTATATTTTAATCGAATAAAAATTGTGTTGGTGATTTATTCAATAATTTCAAAACGAAATAAAAAAAATTATGTTAAGAGAAACTAGGGAATGCGAAGAGATTTTATAGGATTTTTATAGCTGGTATTAGGCAGCATGAATGTTTCCAGAGAAAAGTAGGAGAATCATAAATTGTCGAGATAATTAGTTAGTTATAAGGTTGAAACGAAGTATAAAGATATATTTGAAGAAAAAAATCTTGTAATAATTTTATAGATGATATTTTACATTGAGAAAGTCTTCAGAAATCTTAATAGAATCTACGAGGACGTCCTAAATTTTTTCAATCAATAATTTTGATAAGAGATCGTTCTTCATGATTAGTTAATTAATAATTTTGAGATGTAAATGTGTCGTGACTATCGGGTAAACAATGCATATGTTAAAAAAACATTCCAGATGATGTTTAGACGGATTACATATTGATTATATTAATAAATTAATAATGCAACACTAAAGAGCGATATTGAATAAATATTGTTGCTAACACGCGTGAATCGTAAAATCATGTGCTTGCTTGCGTAAAAGATATTGTCGTTAAATAAAATGAGAGAAAAGCGCACGAGAGATATTTAATGTACGTCGTATTCGCGCGTGCGATAATGGTGACAACCGGTGACAGTATTACGTTAATAGAGATGCGTGAGCGATCGAGATGTATGCGCGTGGCACAAACGATTGTCAGTAGTGAATGCAGTAGGATGAATCAGAAAGTGCGTATCCCGTCGGAAAACCTCTTTGCCTTCTCACAAAAAAGAAAATGCTAACATTTATTAAATATATATACTTAATTTTCTTTTCAATTTTCTTATATAAAAAGAAATTGATTTTTAAATATGTGTTGATAAAAAAGTAATTGAGTATTTGTAGATTATTATGTTTATTCTCTATAATATATTGTTGAATATATATATTTTAGAATAATATTTTACTTTTGCACAATTTCTATATCAATTCAATCTATACAAAAAAGCTTAAATAATTTATAAATAATTTATAAATATTCATCAAAATATAAATATTAATCAAAATATATTTTATGATTCGAGTGATATATATATATATATATATATATATATTTGAATTATAGTCGTTCGAAGAGATGTTAATGCAAGAAAAAAATTAAAACTTATTAATTGAATCATTAATATCAAATATATTGATCGATTCTTAATAAAGAATTTTGTGATGCTTGTGCAAACTGAAACATTTCATTCTCGTTCGTAAAATATTGATAATTTGATGAATCAACCTAATTAATTGGCGTTTCACATTTAGCCATGGAAAGTTCAAGGAAATGCACTTAAACGCGGATTTCCTTAAAGTTGGCATCATATTTAGACGATTACTTATTTACACTCGCTTTATACTCCATTATATGCAAATTAAAAACCGCAACCCAATAATTAATTATGCATGTTATTTTACATGCAAGTAAAACCGTCTATGTTAAAAATAGAATTACTTCTGATCGTTGTGAGAATTGTATTCTAAGAGTTATCGAATACGATAAATATTAAATTTATTTTTTGTCAGCAAGAACAGAAAAAACAAATTTAAAAATCTTAATTAACAAAACGCCAATAATAAACAGTGAAATTAGTAATGCTAAACTTAGATTTAACTAATCAGTAGAAAATTTGTATATCTTGTTCTATATATATTTCTTTTTATTTTTATTCTCATTTTGTTTAATGTGATTCTGTGGGCGAAACAAAGTTATATTATTCTTTGATAATAAAATCTCTCTCAAAAATTACAACGCATAAAAATTATTGTAATGCATGCATAAAAATATATTAATTATGCAATGCATAAAAATTATTGTAATGCATGCATAAAAATATATTAATTATGCAATGCATAAAAATTATTGTAATGCATGCATAAAAATATATTAATTAATTATGCAGTGCATAAAAATTCAATATTTAAATCTTTAACAAAAAATTTAAAAATATAATTTTCTACAAGAATGTCGAGCAAAAAATATCTGCGTTTCCATTAGATTCGCGCGTCTGTACTCATTCATCACGCTGCACGTCTCGCACGAGAGTGATCCCCACTACTTATCGCAAAACTGTGCAGTAATGTCGCCAACTGCCGGCAAAACCCAACTTCACAGTCAAGATTCCAAGACCGAACCGGACCCGACTCGTGCTATATTGCAATTGCGAGACTGATGATCAGTCTCGTGCGAACCGTGCAGCGTCGTGAATGGAGATGTGTCTAATGAAAGCGCAGGTATTTTGATCAAGATTCTTATAGAAAATTCTATTTTTTTGTTTTATTTTCTGTGAAAGTTTTGAAGATGGAATTTTTATGGATTGCATAATTAATATATTTTTATGCATTAATTGCAATAATAATTAATTTTTATACATGCGTTGCAATTTTTAAGATTTCATTATCAAAGAATAACAGGTATATAATTAAATTAAACAAAATGTGTGAGAAAAAATATATATAATATATGTACCTATATTAGGTGTTTCAGGAGGAATCGTCAGCAATCTAGGACATGATTGTACACATCTATAATTTTATTGCTTAAAATGATGTATACAATCAAGTCCTAGACTACTAATCATTTCTCCTGAAACCTCGTATATCTTAAAAAACTTAAGTTTATGTTTTTTTATACTAACTTTATTTTTTAATTTGCTTAATTATTTTATATTATTTAATTACAGAAAATATATAAATTATATATAATTTCAGTTTTTTGCATTTTTTAATAAATATAATTCAATAAATTAAATTATAATCCAATTTTTACTTGGAAAAAAAGTTTACACACAAGCTACATTATTATTAACTTTTCTGTTAGATAAAATATTACAGATAAGTATTATGATGACGAAACAAAAAGTAATAAAATTCTTATCACAATGTATTATACGTTGGAAGGCTAAAAAAATTGCTCTCAACTGTTTTCCGCGATAAAATAAAATCATATCTAAAGAAGCAATAAAGTAAAGAGGTTTAGGACAATTAATCTTGCTTCACACGCAAAAGATTAGAGCACTCGTGCAGTACTGCCCCTCTTCTATCGATTTCCCCATAAATCACCGCCTTCGCACGAGTAAAGGTCTATTTCGATGAAACAGTTTTCAAGTTCTATCGTGGAATATACATAAAAAAAATTATATATATATATATATGGATAGATATTGTATAAATAAATTTAGCAAAACCCAACACATGTCTTAAGCAAGCAGAAAATAAGAAAGCGAAATAAATATTCGCGTTTTTCCCCTTCAACCAAACGCATACAAGTATTTTTCATTTATTCTATATTTATGTAGATTGTTCAATAATTCTCCTTTAATTTTAACATTAGATTTCTTTCATTAGAGTGTTTCATTATTGTATTTTATATTTTTTATATATCTTATATTTTTTTTATTATTTTATATTATTTATCAATATTATTTTAAAAAGGAATAGAATATAAGTGTATTGTTTCTTCTTTAAAAATTCTGAATCATAGCATATTTAGCATTGAATATTAAAAATCATAAGATATGACTTATTCAAATTTCTTTCTAAGACAAAATCAATTTTATAATTACCAGAATTTGTTAGAAAAATATTAAAATTAGATATTTTAAACTGTTTGTTCGTAAGTGTACGACAGACAGTACAGTGATGTTATACTAACTATATGTTTATAAACGTTATAATAATATTCTCCATTATCCGTTTGATATAGCGAATCTGATAAAAATTCCCTTCTTGACGTCGCCGATTTTGTCCCTCAAGCTCGAGAATTTTATTTCCAAGAACGAGAATATTGCGCCGATCGGTCAAGGAAATCGCGGGCATCCAACACCTGACCAGGTAGTCAGGTAGCGACCAGAAATCGAAGTCAGTGCGGAGAACACGCGAATTTCTAGAGCCACGAAGAGGGGGACGCCCTTACATGCGTCATCGCGCTATCGCGAGTGCAAGTCGCACGTGAGCATCGCACGTGAACGGCAGTACAACACGTGCGTTTTGCTCGCCACAGTTCGTCGCTTACGTGCAGCGATAAATGCACCGTCGCTGTCGCGGATGACGTTCCGCGCCTTCTCCAAGATGATCATCCACGGGATCGTCCTGTTGGCTTTGGCGCCGTCTGCCACGGTGAGTACAATTTCACGTTTATTAATCATTAGAGTTCCTCTCAAAATTATAGATTTAATATTAGCCCGTAAAAACGATAGGCATTGCGGAATTTATTAAAAAATTAAAAATAATAATTAATGATAAAAATAATGAATACTAAAATAATATTTAAAACGACAAAGATATGAGAGACCATAAAATGTACGCTTTACAAGAAAGCTCTATTAGTACAAATTGTAAAAAAAATTATTACATCTTGAGAGAATTTCAAGCTGAACAAAATTCTTTAATTGATTTTTATTATAGAAATATAAGGTGAATTTTTGTAATATATAATGAAGTTTTCAAGTTTTAAATGTAATCCTGACAACGCTTGTTATCATCCGTAAATTACGACCGGTCATTTGCATCTTAATTGGCGTTCTTCATATAATTTGTGATATCCGATCAAAGCATAGCGTCTTAAAATAGAGGGCTAGATGATAGGACGCGATCGATACTATTATTTCCAAAGCGGTTATAAATCGACAATGCGACTTGTCACACGAACCGCTTGAATATCGGTTATATGTAATGACAGAAATTTGATATGTCGTCAATTGATCGCTTCGCTGAAAATTACTTACGTAATTGAGCGATTACAGGGACTTGCGATGGAAATTAATGTACATTACATAACACAGGATGTGCCGTTCTTCATTCGAGTGCAAATTTCTTGAAAAAATCTTTTTTTTTCCACTCGATGACAAGTGTATTATAGTAATCAAGTTGGAGACTCAGTCTTCAAGATTAACCAATATTTAAATTAATTATTTATATTTCGTTTTTTTTAAATATACTTTTATATATAAGACTTCAAAAATTATTCACGTTATACACAGCTTAAAAAAAGCTTAGCTTTTAAAAATTGAAGGCTTATTGTTAGAATTATTAAGCTTTCATTCATTTATATTGCAGTTCTAATTTTAATTTTGTCTTATACCTAATACATGAACTTTAAATTGAATTATATGTTATTAAAGGAGAAAAAGTATGCTTAAAATTAATTATAATTGGAAAATTAAGAAAAACATATTTATTTGTGAAAATTTTATTAGTAATAACTCTTAATAAAAAATTTTCGATTTTATGTCGTACAATTATCATACAATTATTGTAATTTATTTAGTAAAGTTTTAACATTTCTTTTTTGGTTTACAAAGTTTGGTTAATAGAATCTGCAATAAATGATAAAACTCGTGATTTACAAAAATCTTTATGTATATATTATTGTTTCTGTAATTAAACAAAAAAAAATATTTTATCATAGTATAGATAACATGTTTTCCTAAGAGGGATATCTATAATCTTATAGATAGGATTATGTAATTTTAATGTCCGCGTAGGATCACCTTGAACAATACTTTTATACCGCTCGCTTCTAATTTGCTATTTAAAACTATTAAGAGAATATTAACAAACATTGTAAGCGTGATGTCAGCCATGTAATTTTTTTTGTTTTCTTATTCTTTATGCATCCGCTCTTTAATAGCTACATATTTAATACAGTCATATGTATGTATGTGTTTATGTTGATGATACTTTTATAAATTTTTAAAATTAACAATTTTTTAAATTACATTTTTTATATAATTTATTGCTAATTACTCATACTTGAAATATTGATATTGAATATTGATCACGACATTACTAATTATTACAAATAGTAAATTCCTTTATAAATTATATTTCGCGGACACATAATAATTTAATTTTTGAAAATGTTTACAAAAGTAATATTTTAATATTAGAATGCGTGTATTAAAAAAAATCAAAATATAATATATATATATATTATTTTGTATATTTCGATATTCAGAAAATATCATCGAAAATAAACGAGGCGAGAAAAGAAAGCAAGATTGATTGATTACAAATTTTATTTAATTCTTCATACTTCATTCCCTTAAAAAAAATTACTTTTCTCTAGATTAAATCTTTTAAAATGTCGCTCCGTTATATTGAAAATTCAACACTAGTAGAGAAAGTACTTCGATTCAACATTGTTTTCCTAGCGTTAAAGTCTACTTCTATGTGCCTCAGTGGATCCACACCTTGGAAGTGAAACCAGCTTCTCTTGCACGCGCGATCTGTGTTTCGGGATCTCTTTTCTCCTTCTACGTTTACCGTATGCACGCCGGTTGCATTTCATTAACAAGTTCAGCACGCAATTCGGGAGACGCACGTGCGACGAGCGGCGATATGTCAGTAGCCGCACGGCAACAAATTTAAAGGGCAATTTAAAAGGAATGCGCTGAATACAAAAATGGTTTTGTTCTTATGGAGAGAAGAGATATACAAAATGTGTATACGTATGCTATCTCTTTGAATAATTTATACTTATTATATTTGCACAATATTCTACTTTTGTGTCATTATTTGCGATTCATTGCAATATAAAAAAATAAACAAAATATATATTTCAAAAAAATATTCGTCGAATGAGAAATCTTCGGGAATAATTTGTTAAATAAAATATAAAAAAGTGATTGATTAAAAAGAATAAAAAATAGCAGAGTGCAAAAGTAAATTTCAACTCGAGCCGACTTGTTCTCACGCGATGTGTTTGTAAATTATTCCGTCTGAATGGGCCTTACTTAGCCCGATGCCAACGGATTCACTTTCGTCCCGCGCGTCGCCGGAATAACAAATCAGCGGCAACGTGCGATTTTCGCCCGACACGTTACGACGAAGCGAAATTATGCCGAGATCTCTCACGCGGTTGGAATCAGAGCGAAACGCAGCTCGCGTCGCGTGCACCATTTTCAACGCTATTCCAAACGCGCGCAATTTCTTCGTCGATAAATGTTTATTTGCATAAACCAGCTGTTGCAGATGCAAGCTGTCGCATAAGATAATATCAAAATTGATGACAATACAAATGATTTTGTCATCAACGATCAATGAGATAAATATGGTACGCAATCTTGAAAAATCTTTTCAATAAAATAATATAGAGAAGACGAAATTTCTGACTGGAAATATCTGTGCAATTAATTGTAAGAGATACGAACACAAGACACTTGAAAAAGTGTCTTCGATACAACAATTAGAAACTATATATTTTTTATATGCGTATGTGGTACGCGTTTCACACGCAGTCATGGAAATATCCTCTTCATAGGCCGGCCGATGCATCTCACGCCATACATGCCGTAAAATGCATCCTGCCGCACAGCGAGGAATTCGTACGAATTCCGGCGCGCGGCTTCTCTCTTCTCTGCCCTCGGGCCGCACACATCCCTCTTTCCAGCCCATACCAACACACGTGTTTGCATTCCAGCGCGATGTTTCACTAAATGCACGCATTGCACCGGGTTTAACCACCCCTCCCGGAGGGAGAACCAGTTCTTTCGGGGCCGGCAGCGCGCCGCATCGAGACGACGCTGCGTGCTTTACGAGGAGGCATGAAAAAAAGGACAAGAGTCCTGAAGCCGAAACTCGGGAAGAATAGGCTACACTTATCATTCTACACTCGAACTTCGTCGCGATCGCCACTGTTCCTCCCGAGACGTTCCGCATAATAAAAACTGCATAACAGTTATATCGAAACGCGTGCAATCTCGGAGAGACGCATCGGAGAGATAGAAAAAATGTACCTTACATTATAATAATAGTAGCTCTATTGTCATAATTGAACATGGACATATAGCACATTGCGACAAGGAAAATAAGCTTGTCCAAATAATGACATATGTATAAGAAATGAATTAATTAGATACATGAATAAATAATCGAAAAGAATTGAGGATGAATGCACGAAACCATTAGCAGAATTTAAAGGTGAAAACATGATGGAAACTGAATAAAGTTTATATCTTGTCAAGCAGAATAGAGACTACCAGAGTGCACGACGTAATAGCGATTCGTACATGCACGATGTTTTTGCGGAAAAGATTAGATGTTGCGGGTATAATAAGGTAAATCACAGTTTATACGCGGCTCGCAAGTTGCCCTCGACAATTTATTGGATAGATATGAAGAGACTTGAGCAATGCGTAACCTGGATGCTCATCGGGAACGCGTGCAGTAAGTGCTTATTGTTAGTCAAACGTCACGCGTCAATAGATCGGGCTTCATTGAGCCGGGTCGTACAATCAACGTTGCAAATAAACTGTGCAATTTATATGAAATACAGTGACACATAAATTATCTGTCGTTTTTGCACAAGATTTTACTATCCTCGAAATATTAAATGATTAATTTTAAATGAACAGAATATCGATTTTTTAAATATATTATTTATTATATTTTATTATATCATTTTTAATATATTATATAATTATATCCTCTTCTTATTTTCTTTTATTTCTTCTGTATTTTATTTATTAAAGGGATAACTTCAAAATATCGTAATAAAAGAATAATTCGATATGTATGATCCTTATTAAAATTGCAATTAATGAGAATCTTTTTCCCTTCATAAGAATGAAGTGAAAACTATCTTTTCTTTAAAATGTTAGATAATCATAAACAAAAATGAGGAGTGGACGTAATACAAAAGAACAAAACGCGGAATTGTAGATGGAGATCATTATTTCGTAACGATATCCTCGAAAAAAATTTAGTTCGCTCGATTCAACGAGCAGCCGAGTCCTGCGGACGTGAAGGATGCACATTCCTGCATATCCTTGACATGATCCGCTCGGTTCTCGCATCAGAAGTACGTCTCACCGTTTACGGAATTCTCAGGTTTCAAGGCGTCGACGTCGTCACTGCCGTGCAAATATAAAAAACGGACGTACACATACCTCGACGCGAACGCAGCAGTGCGTGAAAAGAAAGACAGAGAGGGAGAATAGAAAGAAAGAAAAAGAGACAATTAGTTAATTATTATCCGTCACTAGCTATCAGTTAATTACTATTGGAAACAAAAGTCCAGGATAAACAAAGAAATACGAACTACTGTCAGAAAATAATTACAACAAAAGTATACGTAAATAATAATAATATTGTGTGTAAAATTAAACATTAGAATAAATGAGTGTGCAACAGATAAAAATTTATTATTTCAAATTTTGCGTGCATTAAAATAAATATTATCTATAGATGTTTAACAAAAATTAATGAAAAAATCAATAAATAAAAATAAATTAACGTATAAGACGGGCAACAAGAGCCAAATTGACAATGCGTTATCCTAACGAAACTAAATAATTTTCGTTAGAATTAAATATGCACAAGGCACCAAATTTTACTTGGACACGGCCAAGATTTTAAAATATGAAATAATCTCATATTTGAGATTTAATTTCAATATTAATACGGAAAATAAATAAATGAATGCAAGAGAAAAATATAGATCCGAAAATCGCTGAATCGGGAATCGAACCCGAGAACTGCTCTTCCAGCTGAGCTATTCAAATTCTATAGTTATATATATTAAGTAAACAAACGCATTTTTAAGCCAGCGTGTATCAATATAAGCGGAAAATTATTTAGTTTCGTTAGGATAACGCATTGTCATATGCCCGCTTATACGATTACAGATGTTAAAAATATCTACTCAAAGAATTCTGCAAGATCACTATCGCTATCGATCATGAAAATCTACGAGCGATTTAAATATACATGATAACGAAGAAATTGCGGATATAACTCTATAATTATAAAAATGATCTCGCGAGCGGAAGCAAATGTGACGGCAATGAATCTCCAGGTCTGACCGGTAACGGTGCGATCGATTAATATTCGCGGCGAGTCGATCCGTCGACAGGAAACCGGAGGGCTGCAACCGCATTTCCGAGGTTGATTGCAGAGACGAGAAACTGAATTAAAAAAACGATCTTGGAAACCTAGATAATTATTTTAAGTAAAAAGACTGAGATATAGAAAAGAAGAATATCTCTTTTTACGAGAGGCATGATGAATTTTTATAAAAATTAAATTATTCCTAATGTGCTGTCTTATCAAAGATAAATGCAGGATGCAGAGTGCAGATAGTTGTGGAGCGATTTGTTTAAAACATTAATAATTTTTTTAATTTTTAATTTTTTTCTTTTTAATAATATTCATAGAAAATACTTGGGAAATTAATTTATAGAAGCCGTAATTTTATTTTGTTTTATCGTTTATATTGTTATGAAATTTTTGAGGAACATTTTTGTTGAATTTCATAAACTCGTTTTAAGTGGCCTGTGCGTTTAAAAATTTTTAGAGATGTCATAAAAAATATACTTGAAAGAGTTCTACTTTGATCTTGCTATGTGATTTAATATTTCACATTTAATTAAAAAAATTTCTATTTTATAAACTTTATTTGGGAAAAAAGTAATAAAAATTTTAAATACATTAAAAAACAAAAAAATATGAATGTTTTTAATAGCTTCGCTACTTGCACGCTGTATAATTAATTTCTATATTTTTTTTATAGAAAATTTTGATGCACGACAAAAAATAAGATATCTTAGATGTACTACTCGATTATAATGTATGTATAATCAGCTTAATAAGAATTTTAAAATAGCCAATTAAAATCTATTCGAGTCAGAGAACAAGAGTCATGACGTCAAAGAGTTCTTTTACATCTCGCAGAAAACAGCCTGTCTTATAATTCAATAACTTGAAGAATTCGAATAATTTTCAACAAAAAAACTGTTGAATTTGGACCGCCAATGCTGTGTGAACCTTTGAAAAGAAGTTTGATGAATAGAAGAATTGCTTCCTCAAAGAATTTCCTTTGTAGTGATGCCAGCTGAAGGTCTCATCGGAAAGGCATGATTATCTTGTAACATAAACATGATGTAATAGCTTGCAAGAACGAGACATATATCATTAAGGAAAAAACTGATATTTAATAGAATTTTATCCTATGTGAATCACAGAACATCTTTAATTTAATTTTAGTTTTTAATTTATAGTAATAATAATTATTATTATCACGCAATAATTTAGTCAATATAGGTTTAATAATAATTTTAATTACCACAGTTTTGGCTATCATATATCTAGCTATCCAAAAGAGCAATTATCAATAAGTGTATTTTTTACTTAAATTAATATACTGTTAATCAATTATCACATATTCGTAGTCGATTTATATCTAATGTCGACTTTTTATCCTAAGTAGAAATACGTCATAATTATGCTTAATTTGATGCTGCTGCGCATCTTTCGTAACAATTAATAATTTCTATAATTATCGCTAGTTAAATCTTCACGTCAAACAATACCAAAAGATAATTCACGCATAGATAACTATACTTGAAACACGCATTTCTGACTCATACAAGCTGACGATTTATATTAACTAACGATCTTCCGTATGGCAATATTTGAATTGGTAATTTTGGAAAGAATATATCTATAGGGAAATTAACGTCGCAAAAATCGAAAGTTAAATTGATTCCGATTTGAAAATTTTCTCGTTTAAAATAAAAAGTACATTATACTATCTTTAACATAACTATCCTTTAATTAAATTTTTGCGCATGTTATACTTTCAAAATAAATAATTCATTTCTATAGCATACTTTGAAATAATGTTAGATTCAATATTTCTATCAATTAATTTCACTGTGGTTGCAATTGTAATGTGCACATTCATTAAACATTTTTTTCTACTATACATATTGATTAAATTATCGCAAGAAATGACAAAACGAATCAATTAAAAGTGAAAACGAAATCGAGCTGGTCTCAAAAACGCATCGCTTGATTTTAACAAAGCAAGACTTATTAGAATATTCTGAAAGTCTTTTTTTCTTTTTGCTAGATCGATTCTACATCTGCGAAATATGCGTCTCAATCCATTCCTTTTTTAGGGTCCAAGATCTCATTGTTTCTAATCACTCATTGTTACTAAATCACGGTATAATTTTATTCTGTCACGTAAAATCCAGAACCTGTTCCAACCTACCGAAGTTGAATATCAAATTTAAAAAAAAAACTAGTACGTGACCAACTTGTTGTTTGATGCATTAAGTTTACGCCTCCTACTGTGAGTATATTTGTCAAAGAAAGTGTAAGAAAGTTACCGGTAATCCAGTGGAACGTACACGTTCCTTCTGCCCAAAAATTCCTGGTTGGCTCCCCAGAGTTAATCGTGTTCTATAAGCAAGCGGGAAAGTTAGATGCCAGCGAAGAATAATGAAACTAATAATGAGTTTGCGAAGTGTATCTCTCTCCCTAGTAAAAAAAAATAATAAAAATATATTTTATTGCACGTTTAGCAAACGTAAACATATGTAATATTCTAAAAATATAGAGAAATCAAATATGCAAAAATGAAAAAGAATGGAAAAAAATTACTCTATAATTTTCTCTCAAATTACGAAATTATCATTCGAGATTGTCATCATAATTTTTTAAAGATACGATATCTTTCATAATATAATGCGTTAAAATATTTCTATTGTTTGCAAACTCCCGTGCGAATTTACCTCATTCAAGAAGCTACGACTCGTGAGGAATTATAATTATTATGAAATTGGTGCAACGCCCGATTGCGACAAAGGGATCTATATGTGGGAATTCCGACATTCGATCAGACATCTAATCAGGTCGATCGGCACGTAGTGCTATAAAACCGTCGTTCAGTGTGTCAATGTAAAGTGGAAACGACCTTCTAGTGTCAGCGACCAATTCCGCTTGTCTTGAGGACAGCATCGGTCTTAACGTTAGCTGGCGAACATTACGCGACAATACCAAGGACCAACTTCGGGCATATAATTGTGCGCGTACTACATACCCGCCATGTAGAAAGCGTGCGATGATGGATCGCAGGGGCGCTCTGCCTTCGACGATTAGTGAACGAATCTAAGATAGATATTATTCGAATTTCAAGGAACTTAAATTTTTAACCATGCGATTTGATTTAGAAATCAAGAGCAATTATTTCCTAAAGATCACTATTTTCTTTTAATTATTTTTTTAATTTATTTTTTTTTAATGATAAAAAATGTAATTAAAAGAGATATACCGCTTATTAAGTAACACGATTATTAATTGTTTGCATTATTATGGAAAATTATAAAATTAACAATTTATTTGCTTTACTAGAAATTTACAAGATTTATCTGTATTATTAAAAATAATTGTGAAAAGTATATGTATGTAAAAAAATATAACTATTTATATTGTCATCGGTTTACAGGATTATGAATATACTTGTTTATTATATAGATTTAATGTAAATTAGCTGACCTTATTACAACACTTCGGGCTAAATCTTTGTTCACTATTCATCTGCAAGTGTTTAATTCACATGATATTAATGTAAATATCTTTGAATAGCTGTAACTTGAGCAATATATGTGAAGGCTGTCTTAGCGATTCTTGTGCAATATAATAAAATTTTGATAAAATATAATAAAATTTTGTATAATAAAAAATATAATAAAATTTTGTCAGTCCTGCAAAAATAACTGTGATATGGAAATAAAACTGTTTTCGGAGACACAAACAATTCCTACCGCGATCCTACTCAATCTATCGATCCGACCCTGATTCTATCTGCATGTGGTGACAGACGCGCGACTCGCAAGGCGATTGTCTACGTGACTTTCGTAGCTTCCTGCCCGACGTGTCCCACATATCCGTTCTTCTTCGTGCTGGGCGTCTTCGCGTCTTCGATTTTCCGACCGCGCTTTCGATTTTTCACGCAGACTTGGTCTTATTGATTCATAGTTAGATTTATTAATAGTTTTATACGAAATGTCAGGAATTATTTAGGAAAAAGAATTTCTGACATCTTGAGATAAGCTTTTTTTAAAATTCCCCATGCTCTTTCTCTCTTTCTCTCTCTGACAACTATATTGCCTTTATAAATGGAGATTTGTAATTAAATGCCATCAGTTTTTATCGCTCATCATAAATAACAATATTCCAACAACTGAATTTGTAATTGACAATTTTTCCTTTATTTGCTACCTAGGTCTCCCCGTAGCTGACGAGCCTGCTGATACGAGCACGATCGGGGATATCGGAAATGTCTCAGAAGCAACTGTCATTCCCGAAGCGGAAGGTCATTCCATGGATGATATAATGCCGGGGACGAAACCGCCATCGATTGCCCTGGTGTTCGTCGATATCCCGGAACACACGGAAACGGAACTGGGCTCGTCCGTGCTGTTGGCATGCCGAACCGCTAATCCTGTAGCCGAGTGCCAGTGGTCCTGGCAGCCATTACCGCCAATACACCTGCCACTTCCGGATGTCAGTGAAAGCCCGTCAGTTTCTACGAGTAAGCGCGACATTCGCGGATTTGTTTCGCGATTAGCTTCTGACGAATATTCATATGTGTGACTCATATGTCATTGCGAAGAACCAGCAACTCGTGCAAATTTGATTGATTACATTTTATAATAAATCAATTGCAACAATTTTAAAAATATCTTCTTCCTTTAAAAAATTTCTTGTAATTAGAATAATTGGACTTTTTTTTAATCGGCTTAATTGCTTCTAAAATGTTTCCATGTTCTTCTTTTTTTATTAGAGCTTCTTCTAATTTATGCAATAATTATTTTTATAGATATACAATCATTTTATCTCCCTTTCTATTATATTATTTATAAAATATAATTCTGTAATCATGGGTGAAATATTCATTGGAGAGCTCTCGAATCTTTCAATGATTTTAGCCACGACGATCTCGACGATATCGACAACCACGTCGACTCCCACGACTCATCCACTGCCGGTACGACAATTTCCGGCGTTCGGGAACAACAGCAATGATTGCTCCGTGAGATTCTCCAGTACCAAACACGAGCAGACAGGATACTGGACTTGTGCGGCGAGAGTCTCCACGAGCGATCCTTTCACCAGCACCGAACCCGCCAAGCTCAGCATCGTCAACGCCAATCACGGTAGAATGCTCGAATTTCTTAATTCGATTTCACAAATTTCACTCTTTAATATTTGCGGATTATCTTGATAAGTATTAAAACACTTACGTTTCATTTATTTCGCTTTTTTCGGAAAACTTAATCGATTGCGTATTCTTTTTCTTAATGTTGTAATTATACAATTTTATCTTTATTTTATATTGATAAACTGATGACTAATTAAGCCTCCGATTAAATGTTTGCAGACAATACGACAAATTATTTGGGAATTTGATAAACGAATTATCCTGCGCTGTCTTTATTTTTTGACATTCTGTACATTTTCTGGTATTCCTAGGAGGAAAAAGCTGTTTGAGCCATAGTCCCGTTCTTCGATTAGAATTTTAATCGCGTGAGCATAACGAATAAACGCGATGTATTTGCGCAGTTGCTTTCGGACGACCTCGAATTCTTGGTGACAAGAACACGCTTGACATTGCTGTTTGTCTTCTTCAATTGTGCCAACTGTCATAATATATTTTCCGCATCGAGCACCTTTTGATAAAAAATATCGCGTTGTCGTTTATCATACAATACAGACTATACTTCAATATTTATTTAAGAATTTTAACGTCGAGAATTGTCAATAATATTTAATATTTTTCAAACATCTCACGATTACGTTCAAATAAATTTGCGCTCCACCTGATAATGATTCGGGGTGAATGATCCAAAATGAAAGACAGATTGGGAAAACGCATTTATACGAATTTAATTCACTTCGATAATCATCTCGGATGAGTCATGCAATATAAAACATATAAAACAGATTTCCTTTTCGAAAAAATCGAATAAATTTTTAAATAAATCAGAAAAACCTGGACATAAAAATAGCCGCAAGTTTAGAGGAGATAATTATCTCTGATCTAAATCCTTCATTCTCTTCGTAAAATCTTTTCAATCGACTTTCGAATCCAGCGCAAAGAACGACACATTGCGTAAGAAATATCGACAAGTGCAACTGGTGCATTCGCACATTTCAGGTATCCTCATCACGTTCGCAAAGCACGAGAATGTCATCGAGGTGCCGGCTGGATCCTCGGCGCAGATAATGTGCCAAACCAAGTCGCCGGTACGCGAGTGTCAGTGGTCCTGGAGGCAACTGAATCAGTCGCAGCCCTGGAACCTCGATGTGAAATCATTCCCGGCTTTTGGTAACGACAGCACGGAATGCAGCATCAAGTTCAAGAACGTCCTGCCGGAGCAGGAGGGCTACTGGACCTGCGGTGCCCGAATCGACCCGAATTCCTCATTCATCCAGGCTACTCCTGTTCGATTTCTCATTTCGGAAGGTACTATTTTCATTAATTATGCTAGCATATTTTTTCAAGTGTTTATATTGACGTGAATTTACTTACTTGCGCGTGTAATAAGTTATATAACAAACAATTATAGAGAATATATAAAATATATTATTAATATATTTTCGGAGAGAATTTTCTCTAGAATTTACCCTGAAAATCATGATAATTGTAGGGCAATAGAAAAAATTTTATGAGTTTCTCTGATGAATATTTACCACAATAAAAAATATTAACATTTGTTACAATAAATATACAATATTTTAGATTAATTTTATATCTTATTGTAGTAGATATTAACAAAATTCTTCCTATTGCCCCACGATTACCATGATTTTCAGGGTGAATTCTAAGAGAAAATTCTCCCTGTACACGGTATTTTAAATAGTGAAAAATATATTATCTTTGAGAACTCAGTACTTGAAATTTTCCTCCATCTTCATATTAATTCTAATAAGGGTTGCAATTTTTCTCATTGTCAGTAATATAGTCGAGAATAATCTATCCTCAATTCATGATCATGACATTAATTGAATCGATTTGCCACGATTCCATAATATAATTATTAGAGTTTTCATCGTCGAAAAAGATTGGAACGTCGCGTTTTACTCGGCGTAACAGCAACAGCGATTGATCTTGCACTCTCGACCCGTTTCTTCATCATTAAAAACCCGTCAAGAGAGCTTTCGTTTCCCTTTTATAGTCGAGTTCGTGCAGTTGTCGCGCGGCGTTCAGGTTGCAGCCGGCGAGTCGGTCTTTCTACGATGCCTGGCGAACAAGCCGGTGGTACAGTGCGAGTGGTCGTGGAGGGCGTCGAACTCGAGCAAGGAACCGCTGCTGGTCAAGAAGTTCAGTCCAAACAAGGACGCCGATCACGACTGTTCCGTGCGATTCAAGAACATTCTGTACGAGGAGGAAGGACTGTGGACCTGCGGGGTCCGTTTGACGCCGGATGGGATCCTGCATACGGCGCCCGCGGCCACTGTCAGCCTCCTGCCTACCGGTACGCCGACGATCGCTTTAATTAAGAAATAAATACGCCCGAAAAGCCTGTAATCGCGCGTCCGATCCGATCGCCGTAATTATACGGCCGAAAAGGAATATACTCCTTGTAATTACGTTGACGTTCTCGCGATTACGGATTGATCGATACGTCTTAACGCGGGATGATGTCAAAGTTGATTGCTCGGAAAAATATTTAAATAGTGGGGTGCAACTCTAAAAGATGTTGATTTAAAAAAATCGAAGTAATATCTATTTTAAAATTGTGTCTCTCTGTTAAATTAAAATGCAGAAACTGTTGCGTCAAATACAAATTGCTTCGACAATAATCAATGTCGGAATTCGAGGTAAACTGGCAACTTCGATTATACATATACTTTCCTTTTATACATTTCACCTTTCTCTCGCATTTCGCGCTTAATTTATGTGGCACTTCATGCCCAACGCGAGACGTAATCTAATTGCTAATTACTTTGAATCCGATTTAATCTCCTGATATTTCTAGAAAAGCGTGTCGCTGTTAATCAAAAACGAAAAGTCTTTAAGAGCTGTCAAGCGTTAAAATAAAAAGAAGCACTAATCAATTATCAGAAATATTATTCTAAAACAGTATGAAGCATTTTTTTATAAACTTGTCAAAAATCGAGGAAGTTTTTTACGCGCTCGCGATAGAAAAAGATTCATCCATTTTTTTGTCACGCCGACCAATTCCAGCCAAGGTGAGCTTCGTGGATATGCCGACGGACACGGCGGTGCCTGTAGGCACAGAAGCCGTACTGAAGTGCATCACCAGCAGCCGCGTGGAAAAATGCGCCTGGATCTGGAAGCCGCTGAATGGCATCGATTCCGAAAGCGTCGTCATCGACGAATTTCCGAGCAACGGGGATCTCGGCCGCGACTGCTCGCTTCATCTGCCGCAGGTGCACGCGGAGAAACAAGGTAACTGGGTCTGCCAGGTGTCCATCGCGTCGCTCGGCACCGTCCTGACGTCGCCGGCCGCCAAGCTCACGGTCTTCGAGCAAGGTAATTCGTATTATCTACATTTTTCTCCCCAATTTGACATATGAATTCATTCTATTGTCGCTGATCCTCTGACATCTCTCTTCCAGACGAGGTAAAGTTCTCGGAGCTGTCGCAGGACATTCAGATCTCCTCCGGCGGTAGTGTCTTGCTCCGCTGCGTGACTTCCTCGGCGGTGGATCAGTGCCGTTGGTCGCTCACCCCGGTCAACTCCAACACCACCGTAGTGGTGAAGCAGTTTCCGGCCGCGGGCAACGAAGCGCGGGACTGCAGCGTTCGTCTGAGCCACGCACTCGCCGAACAGGAGGGACTCTGGACCTGCGGGGCCAGGATACACGGTCGCCAGAATTACACGGACGCGCCGCCCGCGAAGCTGAGCCTCCTCGAACCAGGTATCATCGAGTCCTAAAGAAGGCCGCTTCTCCACCGCCATGGTGAAGGGTGGATGCACCATTAATCGATCGTCGCGCTCGGCTTGCAGGCTCGGTAAATCGCGTCGTAGTATAAATCTAGATTGAATGCTGTTAATTAAAAAGAATCCTCGAAGCGCAGAAAATTTTAAGATACTAAGCCAGCGATAAATTGTATTCAGAGCTCGTTTGCTCTTTTTTTTTTTTTTTTTAGAAGCTGTCACTTAATGACGCTTTCCTTTTTAACTCTGCGTTGCTTGATCCTTTTTGTAAACTTTTACAAGACATTAGATCCTTTTTAATTTATAGCATTCAACTGTTATTAAATGTTCTCGCATATCGCGCGTCGCGTCAATGTGCGAAGATTATATAATACTCTTGAAACATCATCAACCATCGAAGACACTATGGATTTTAATTTAGTTAGAATTTTTTATTTCAACGGCACGTTTAATTCGTGAAACTGAAACGGATAATTATATATATATGATATACCGCGCGAATATACGTAAAGTTCATCAATTGTTTCATTAGAGAAAGCTCGTTGAACGTATCGAGCAAAAGATACATCGCATGGACTATAATAAATTTTCGCTTCGCGTGAGAAGAATCTCCCGTGCAATAGGAATACACGAGGACCTTGCGTACACGTGACGAGCCGTCACGTGTACAAGGATCTTTCGTGTGCGATGATTCGCGTGTAGAAGGACTTTGTTCCTCTCAGGCATCTCATGAGATTCAAACGACAGGCAACAAATAATGGGAGCGATCGCGATTTGACATTTGGACATATCAGAGATTTTTCTCTTTTACTGAAACTGAATTTTTAATGATTCTTAATTCTTACTTTGCAAGTCATCACTTTGATGTGAAATCTTCAATCATCTTTTTCCGAGAGTCGAGTTTCATATAAAATACTTTCGCCGAAAAACTTTCGCCCAAAGCCTGGCTAGAGTCGCTTCTGCATTCGATCGATTAAAACAAAATGTACGATAATAAGTGTTACTTGTATAATAAATTCGTATTAGGACACACATGTATTATATATATTTTAGGATCCGTGGCCTGTGCATTGTCGCGACGACTGTCGCAACCAACCGCGATCGCGAGTGCACCAAGACGAACCGCACGTGAGCTTTGCACGCGTCGCTGCGTGTGCGTGTACATAAGTGTAGGCCATGGATCCTGACGCACGTCTTTGCAATCTGCGGTAAAAGAAGCTTCACGGCACGAGCATCGATTGAACGGTTTCACATGCCGTATAGTGGATTAATAATCGAAAATTCTTGATGCCAAATCATTATCGAATTAGTAAGTTATTAACGATTCCTGATCCCAAGAAATCGATCTCGCTCTTTACTACGCAGAAAAACTACATATCGTAATTTTAAATTCGACATTACTAATAGACATATGAAGTCTTGTAAAAACGAAACTTTCAGAAAGTTTTAACATTTACTAAATTGCTTGTAATTTTTTGTGTATTCTTATCATGTAAGCACAGCGCATTTAATATCTAATAAGAAAGAATATTGATAACTCAGCTCTCATTTACAACATATGGCTGTCCAATCGAAAGATATAGACTGCATAACTCATCATCCTACATCTGTGTTCCGAGTGATAAGGATCCGCGTTCGATATCGGCGGAAAACAATCGGCCAGAATTCGCAGAGAAAGTGAAAGAATTTGCCATATCGATCGCGGATCCTCGCAAACGCCCAGAAGACTGTCGTGGATGGAAGGTGATGAATCTTGCATGCCGATGAAGCTTCATACCGCTAGATTAGCGGTGGAAGTGCGAGTGCCTGTGAGTGAAGCTGTTGGGCTGCCGATAATAGGCATAGCCAACGTGTGTGCTAGAGAGAAAATTTTATCCGTACGAGAATGATCTTAAACCACATGATCATCACATTTCATTGATTAAATTGTGTCGCTTAATTTAAGCGCGATGCTGATTGCGAGGAAAGCCGAATTTTTTAAGACGTCTAGAGTAATAACTTTCGTGTTCTGATTCAGTATAAAAAATAGTATTATAGTAAAAAAAATACAAATTAAATTAAATAAGATATAACGATAATAAATGGAAAAATTAAAAACTGCAGTTTTAACATACACATACACGCATGTAAAATAATAGAGTTTTTACATATATATTATCGAATATTTTCTATTTAAACAAAATTATATTTGATTATTTAATTTTAAAAAATGCTTTTCTTAAGAAGAATTAAATCCCTACTGAGCAGAGCATGAAAGAATAAATTTTTCTTAATTATATATGTATTTTTTTTTTTTAAAGAAAATGTAATCCAAGTACCTTTTTCATGTTACATACGTAAAGATTGCAATATTCGAACATATATATGTTTATGTGTCATCCTTCTCTGCTTTACCGCAATACGCAATATCCATTCTTAATTTAATTATATTGTCGCGCATTTGCATTTACTAGCATTAAATTATTCTAACTTATTCATTCAGTCTCGCCGCATCCGTTTCTCATTCGCGATTCTCTGATAAACCGAGATTTATCGGTTTGTCGTGCGCCGCGTGATAAACCACGAATTAACAATCTTGTCAGCTTTTCTTGTATCTCCACAAATTAAGGAAGCTTCACACGAGTCGCAATTTATTGTGATTTTCTCCTTAGTAATCTATCCATCCATGTCATTGTTATGCAACGGATATCGCCGCAATAAGTCTCCTATTCCTTATTATGTATATTACTACGTGCTAAGTATTATGTATATTACTACGTGCTAAGTATTATGTATATTACTACGTGCTAAGTATATTACTACGTACATTTTATCTAAAACATTATGCAAATATTGATCAACAATTTCGGATAAGACTAAAGCTTCTTTTCGTGTCAACGGCACAATTTCTTCAATTTATAATTAAGATTAACAGCAACATGATAAAAAATGAAAGATTTATTATAATGGAAATTCCAAACAAAAATTAAATATATTTTATTACATTATTTAATATTAATATTTAATAAAACAATGAATAATGTTAATATAGTAATTAAAAAAACAATGAAAAATATTTTTTAGCTATTAAAGATAAATTCAAAATTAAAGAATTATCAGATTTCTTATTTTACACATTTGTTCTCGATCGACACGTTGCATTTTTTATTTATTATTAGCAATGCCATCTATACTTTCTATTTATATTCTCAACGAAATTGCGTACAAATAATGCATTTAGATAATAAAATAATAATTGCTTATTGTTTATTTTGTTCTACTTTCTAATTATTGTAGATAATTTAGTAAAATTACGAACTACGAATTTTTTTTCATAATGTAGTATTGTATTTTAGGTAAAAGCGAATAATATTAGATTACCAAGAATTTGTCTAAATGAGTGTTAATTGACGATGTTGTCTAACAAAGTGGCTCACAGGCACATTTCATCTTGTAAACTGCGTTTCTCGTGTCATTTCATATATGTTATTTATTATAGAAAAGTCATTCCTCTTAAGTTGATATCGCGTTTTCGTCCATATTGTGTTTATTGCTTAATTCATAGCCAATTAGACATATGTCTGTTTATATATACTCAATTATTACTTATGAATAGCCACTACTTTAATGCTAAGTAGACAATTTTTAATGTTAAGAGGTTTTTAGCGTCCAGAAAATTCATGTCCACAACGAGTAACCTTTGTTCAATTCGTTGGTCGATATAATACAAACATTATCATGTATCACTCTGTCATTCGTATATTTTAGAAGTAATATATTTTATTTTTATCTCTTAATTAATTAAATTTCTTCTTTAATATCTGAACATTATGGAGCATTTGTATAAAAATTTAGAGTCCATAAAATTAAAAATTAAGAAGTTTTATTATTAGTTTTGATGCAATAGTAAAGATATTAAAATATTGTATCAGTAGTGCTTTTTCTAAAAAAAAATTACACACACATATATATAGGCCAAACTAGAACGACGATTTACTTGCAGAGTGTATGAATCTTCATGTGCCATTAAGTATCGTTAAGTCCCGCGAAATATTCGCGCGTTTCCAAGCGAATTTTTGTGTCTGAGTTTCTGTAAACTTTTTTGTTTTGTCTATAAAAAAAGAAATAAAAAAGAAATAAATGGTAGTGCGAAAACAATGGTCTTCTCACTTCCATTACCTCAGTTACTAATTGCATTAGAACTGAAAAGCTTTTCTTAACTGGCAAAATAAATATCACCAAATTGCAATAATTAATCAATGAATTCCCAAAAAATGTTAATAGTTAAATGTTTTATGAAAAAGTTCACATAATTATTTTATATTTCATAAAATTGGTATTTTAATGCATAAATTATTATTCTCATAATAATTTTAAATATAAAAATTATTATTTAAATTTCAGTTTATTTTATTCATTTTTATATCATAGTTTATATGTATATACACAATGTATATATATATTTATTTTTTATATCTGACAAAATAATTTGGCGCTTATAATAATATCTTCTGGGATTTCAATTTCATTATTAATGCATACGAGATCAGCACGCTCTACATAACGTCGTTTAAGCACTTGTCAAACCACGAAAATCATCGATGCACAAACGGTGATTGGTGGTCAAAGTACTCTATTCGTCGAATAATCTGCACCGAAGATGTAGCGGCTTTCGGTGAGTGGGACACGAAAGGATCAAGAAAACTTTTTCCAATGATCTCAAGAAAAATCCATATTAAAATTCAATTTATCTTCAATGTCAAAGAGAATGCAAAGAAATTGTTATATCATTATTAGCAGTGAAAATCTGTAGAAATAATATTTGATCGAAATTGTGGATTTTTCAATAAATTCTTGAGGCCATAAGAATTAAAAATAAATTCAATTTACGAGATATCAATCATTTTAGAGCCCGTCACTATCGCGGTTTGGGCTACACCTCATCAGATGGTTACTCTCGCATGTAGAATCGGAACTGTCTCATCAAAGGCCAAATGTCACTGGAATCATGCTCCAAACGTTCACGTACATCAGAATTCTAGCAAGCTTGCAAAGAAGACGAGGTAATCTATACAACATTTTCTATCGTATATATATATTATTTTTCTAATACACATCTCCGTACTTTTATAACAATCCAGACATAGCATGCAAATGGATTATACCACGGGTATATGTAAGCTAGTCTTCAAACCAGATCATTCCGATCTAGGAAAGTGGACTTGCAGATTCACTACGACGAATGAAACCACCGATATCGAGATAGGAAGCGCTACACTCGTGTTGCTCAACACCTTAGCAGGTTTGTTAATATTTTTAATCAAAGAAATATTCGATTTTATTTCCATTTTTTCCTCTCTCTATATATATATATATATATATATATATATATATATCTTTAAGAAAGCTAATTATTCAATGATTCTTGCATAGATGAAAAACTAGGATGGATCGTGGGTATCCTAACAGCTATGATTTTATTCCTGATGATAATAGTCGTGGTATTAGTGGTGTGTAAGGCGCGAATCTTCGTTCGCAAGACATCCGAAGTTCTGGAAACTTTACCTTCCAACGAAAACAATCAAAGCGAAAGAATCCCAGACAAAAATAGCGAGGATCAGGGGAAGATCAATCTTCAATTCGTTGAGGACGAAAACCGTGTATCGAACATCAAAAGTGTCTTACCTAATAGAAGTCCGCGCGTAGATCGTATGGAAAAAAATCATGCAACGTCATCCATAGTATTTGAGAATGTTGGAACATAATAACATGCGATTATTTTCTTCGTCGATATAAAAATTTTCCTAATAGATTAACTTAAGATTATAGTAAGTAAAAAAATTTCTTTTATACTATAAAATAGCGAGAAAATTAGAAAAGTAAAATAATATTTTGTCTCTATAGAAATTACGTACAAATGTCATATGTGTGTGTGTATAATTTTTAGCAATTGTTTAAGAAATTTGTATAGATTTGTATAGATTTCATAATTACAGTATGTAAGAATTGAATAAATAATATATATGTATGAATAAATCTGTACAAAATTGTATAAAAATTATAAAATATATATTATTATATCATAAAGCATTATTCATTTATAATAATGTGTATAATTTAATCATTTTACATTTTAAACATTTACATTTTTAAAATATAAGAGTTTTAACAAGGCTCTGTAATATAAATATAAATTTAACTCTTATAAATTTAAATTTAGCTCTTGTTGCCCGTCTTATACGTTAAATTTACATTTTTGTTTCTAGAGCATCTAATTGAGTTTGAATTTTCTCTAAATTATAATAGAGATCTGTTAACTGTTTCTTGTCAATTCCACTGTTAGTGTAGATGCCTTATCACCAGTTAGACCAAGTTGAAGTAATGCTACAGTCGTGCATCTTTGGAAATTGCAGAGGATGATGACTGCACATTTAGACACCAATTGATATCTTTCACCTTGTTAAATAATATAAAAATATAATTAGTTATTTTTTAATACACCATGATTAATATTAATTAATAGTCATTAAGAAATTAAAGTTTCCTCCATTAATTCATATTAAAATACCTGACTCGGAAACATAGATTTTTGTCTAAAATTTTCCACAATCCCTTTGCCATAAGTCATCCATGCATTTATAAAGATTGATATTTTCTCTTCATCTATCTTAAAATTATCCTTCATAGCTGTTTCCATAAGAGATGGCTTGACAACATTGCACGCAGCTTGTGTGTAAATCGATGTAATAGTACTTAATAGAAGAATTAACTCATCCTTTGTTAAATCTAAAGAAACCAATAGTTTTTCTTCCTCCTCCTCATTAAATACTTTTGTATCAATGCTAGATTGGAGGCTCTGACATATACGATTGACAAGAAGACGAAATTTGCTATTATCCAGCCGAGCCACTATTGTTAACCCTTGCTCCAATCTAAAAAATAATACAAGTAAAAATTGAATTTTTGTATTTGTTAAATGATGAATGATTATGCCCATCTTAACTAACAATAAGATAATATACATAACACAACACAATTATTTGTGAAATTTTCCATAAACAATAATATAAAGATGAAATATTTTAATGTACATACTTTGAAGTTATATTGATCCAAGCAGCCATTATAATAAGAGAAATCAATGTTCATATATATATATTTCTCTATTTATCTTAATCTTCATCTTTCACATTTGGAAAAATCTAAACTATTATTGCACTGTACACGTGATATTGTAAACAATCATGAATGACGTTGAGATTTCTCATTCAGCAAATATTTCTCATTCACTGTACTCTGACTTTTGTCATAGAGTATGAACTAGATGCCATCATTCTTGAGATTTTAATGTATGTTCCAAAACTCATTGAGAAATGTCCAAATTTTTTGTCCAGAAACTGCGTTTGTGTCTTTTACACATATGCAAATCTTTATGCATATATTCATTAATATTCGAAAATAACACATCTTTATATCCCATTATATATCACTGTTTTGTTATCTATGTGATAAAAGTTCTACTTTGATAGATACACGTAATTACGTAGTTGCTCTTGCATTCATTTTAGAAGAAAAAATGTCATTGGAAGCTTATTATGATCCAAACTATGACAAAGTATGATACAAGCTGCTCATATAAGTGATAATTTATATAAAATTAAATTTTACAATTAATGAATTTATCAAATTATTCTAAGAAAATTGATTATTTTTACAGGAACATCCAAGAAATCTTATTCCAGAACTATGTAGGCAATTCTATAATCTTGGATGGGTGACTGGTACAGGAGGCGGTATCTCAATTAACATGAGTTAATATTTACTATTTGTTCTAGAAAAAATTTATTTTTGTAAAAAATTAATATTGGAAATATTAAATGTTTGTTAAATTTTTGTTACAGAGATAAGATCTACATAGCTCCTTCCGGTGTACAAAAAGAGCGGATGATGCCCAATGATATGTTTTGTACAAGATATTAATGGAACAGATTTGGAATTACCACCACCAGAAAAGAAATTAAAGAAGTCACAATGTACTCCACTATTTATGTGTGCTTATTTAAGGAGGAATGCAGGTGCTGTGATTCACACACATTCTAAATTTGCTGTAATGGCAACATTATTATGGCCTGGAAAAGAAGTCAAACTCACGCATCTTGAGATGATAAAGGTATACATTTAAATTATTTTAAAGATAATTTACACTTAAAAATGAGATTTAAAGATGATTTAAAGTAGTTGAATTAATGCAGGTATATGGAATCAAAAAGAGGGCAAAGCATATCGTTATGATGAGGAATTGGTAATACCAATCATAGAAAACACTCCCTTTGAGAAAGATTTAAGAGATGATTTAGACGACATTATCGTTCGTTATCCTGAAACTTGTGCAGTTTTGGTACGCAGGCATGGGATTTATGTATGGGGTGATTCTTGGCAACAGGCAAAAACTATGTATGTTGTTCCATTCAAGTATTATCAAATATTTTCCCATTAGTAAAATGAAATTTATTTGTAATAATTTTTTATTTTAATCTTTACAAATATTTTGTTTCTTTTTTACAGGACAGAATGTTATGATTATTTGCTTGACATTGCAGTTCAAATGAAACAATTTGGATTAGATCCACAGACAACTCCAAGTAATTATGAATTAAAATACCAAGGAAATGTAACAATTTTGTAATACAAATCTAATTTTTGTCATAAATGTATATATCATAAAACTATACATATATACTATATATATATATATATATATATATATATATATATATATATATATCTTAGATATGTGCATATAAAAATGTTTATACAAATTAAAATAAAAAATGAATTATGAGAACTGATTAAAGAATAATTATGTATTTATAAATAGAACTGATTACAATTATACTTCATGTATTAGTAAATACATTTTTTACGGATATAAATTATAATTATTTAAAAAGTAGTAGAAATTTAAGTATCTATGTCAAATGGCACGAATTGTTTCCTAATTTTCTTTGCTACTTCGGTTTTCTTCCTCTTGACTCATATGACAATCCTTCCAGTCGGATCTATCATTGATATCTAATATTCTGTCAGATGCTAATACTTCTCTACCAAATTGTAAGGGGAAATCTTTTTTAATTCTGTAATATAACATCTCTCCATTTGGTAATTCTACATAAAAATATAGGGCACCAGGTTTTGCAATTTGCTGTAAATCTGTATGCTGTGGCAACTCCATTATTTTGAAATTATTACATTCAGCTAGTTCCTAAACAAAAATTCATACATATTAAATGTTAGCTGCAACAATAAAAAAACATTAAGCTTTAGTAATGTGAAAAGAGAAATACCTCAAACATTTCTTTCAGGGCTGGTGCTTGATTTTTATGAACAGGTACTGCTTGCAGTTGACAATGAGATGTTTTAAAATTTCTCTCAAAAAATACTGGCACTCTATCAGTACTTTCATAGTATTGTGTCACAGCTTTCTTGTAAAGATCCATCTCTTCCTTCACATTCTTTGGTAGGATTGATAGACTCTGATGATGTGTTATTGGCAAAATTAAAAGATGATCCTCTACCAAACCACCCTTTGCTAATGCTAAATAGATTTCTGTACCAACAGAAATCACCAGATGCTTGGAAACCACTGGACTAGATAAGCAGAACCAACATTTTGACTGATCAAATTCCAGTTTTGGCTTTTTATTGTGATTATCATTCTGATGACGTGATCTTCCCATTGTCCTTCGAATCCATATCGTAGAAGAACTGTGTATAAGCTTGATTCTGCGTCATTGGATCATCAGATAGCATAGATGTGGGATATGGACTCAATGTCTCATCTGTTGTTTTCATAATTAAATCTGATAGCCTACTTCTATCAACAGGAGTTAAATTTAATGCATACAACCATTTTTTCTTGTTAATATTCATTACTGGTGCCAGAGCTATGAACCTAGTGGCTATTTCCATATTTCCATCGCTCTGACTCTGATTCCTGTAATAAAAATATTCAGAGTTGAAATACACATATCTTAATTTAAACATGATAATTTTTATATACGAATTCTTCAGATCTGTTAAAAAATTTAAAAAAAATGTACTTACCTGTATGGTGGTCGTTCATAATAAATTCCTTCCAATGCTGAGACATGATATCTAGGTTTAATATGAGTAGCCAACCAAGCAATTAATTTGGAACCCTGATATTTGCATTCTGGTTTATTAGTGTCAAGATTAGTTATGCCGTCTGGCCAAGGAGATGTCAATAAGACATCACACCGCGAAAACTCGGTTGACCTTTCAAGCAACTGTTTTTGATGGATGTAACATCATGTTCATTGAAATATATGTCTTTGTTCTCAGTCATTACTTTCTCAATTCCACTGAGATATGCTATTTTAAGACCTGAACTAGCAGTATAAAGACCACGTTTTCCAAGATAGGTGAGATTTTGACAGATCTCATATCCATCCTTATCGGTGTAATATTCCAGATCAGATTCCCTGTTAGGGCCAATAATATACGTCGGTACTGTAATAGTTTTCTCGCAGGACTTGTAGGGTTCCAACTCGGAATTATCTTCACCAAAAAATTACCAACGCATAACAAGAAATCGAATGGCCCACTCTTCTTGTTGATAGCGTCCACTTTGGAAAATAGGAATTTGAAGTGTCCCTCCACGTCTCCACAAATAAGAACTTTCTGCTTATCACTCATGATATAACTAATAATATGCAATAATATGCACAGTTTACGATATCAATAGTTAACAAAATAATGTTTCAGTGTTTTTCTCAAACACTCTGGATTTAATATAGGCTAAGTCTACTTTTAGAGATTTGTTTTCATACTGATTTGAGTCATAGAAAATAAAATATAAAGAGTGAACATCACAGGTAAAAAGCATGAAGCAGGAAGAGAGCATATATAATTGATTATTAAAATTAGGGAAAATTAATTACCATAAATATGTATTAATTTTTTAGAAAATATTGTATGGTAATTGTAAAATGAATATTATATTTGGCTATATATGAGTGTATATTATTGGCTGATGAATTTATTATATAGATGTCAAAACTAATTATCAAATAATGATAACTTAAAATTATCTCCAAAAAATTCTAAAAGGATCGTAGAATTAAATTTCTCCATCCAATAATTAGAACATTAAACAAAAAGGCTAAGTCTACTTTTAGAGATTTGTTTTCATACTGATTTGAGTCATAGAAAATAAAATATAAAGAGTGAACATCACAGGTAAAAAGCATGAAGCAGGAAGAGAGCATATATAATTGATTATTAAAATTAGGGAAAATTAATTACCATAAATATGTATAATTTTTTAGAAAATATTGTATGGTAATTGTAAAATGAATATTATATTTGGCTATATATGAGTGTATATTATTGGCTGATAAATTTATTATATAGATGTCAAAACTAATTATCAAATAATGATAACTTAAAATTATCTCCAAAAAAATTCTAAAAGGATCGTAGAATTAAATTTCTCCATCCAATAATTAGAACATTAACAAAATTATATTAGACATTTTAATTAGCTTATAGTTATCATGGATTAATAACAAGATTTCTGAATTTAAAATATTAAATAAGTATTTTTTATTTTTTGTCTCAACATAGCGATTATATAAATTTGCTTCTAAAAATATATATAAATAAATTAAAAATAATACTAATTTTTTTTTTATTTTTAAATAGGGCATAAAGTTTAAAAATTTGGTATATACTTCAAAAATATGTACGAAAACTTAATTTCATGTTCTTAATAAAGATTCTACAAGATATGTTTGCACGTACTTTATAAATACTCTTTATATTTTATAAATATTTTTGCATATATACTTATAGATTATTGCTCGGAAAATGGAACAAAATAATTTATTCATTTTCTTGAAAAAGAAATGACGAAATAATCAAAGAGTCTTTTGATCACATGATTATTGTATAAAATGAAACAGAAGAATGACACTTTTTATTCTACATATATGTGGCAATTAAAATAACAATTAAAAATTGACTCCAGAATAATGAGGAAACTTGCTGTTGATAACTCGCAAAATAAACAAATTTACCTTTTAATGAAGAAAAAATCTCTTTTCCGTTTTCAAAATATAAAAATATAATAAAAATCTTTCCTCAATGGTAAAAGTCGACCAAACTGGCAATCATTTATTATAAATAATTAGTTAAACTACAACGTTTCATTGCAGTTGCATTTACGTTTGATCTACTTGAAAAGGGCTGCAAATGACAGCCGAAACGTTTGTAGTTTAACTAATATTTATAATAAATGATTGCCAGTTTGGTCGATTTTACCATTGAGAAAAGATTTTTATTAATTATTACTGGCAAACCTTAAGGATTATTATTTGATAAATATATAAATAAAATAATACATATTCGAAGTTAATAAATTAAAATTCTCTGTTTTGAAAACAAAGTGATAAATATAAGGCCAACTTATCGAGCTGAATATTCGAGATGTTCAGTCAACTACCATTTATTACATGTTTAAATTATAAAACTACAGTCATTATATTAAAACTAACGCAAATTACAATCATTCTATAAACGTTTCGACGCCGCACGCGGTCTTCTTCAGTATAATTATTGAAATATAAATTCTTACAATTCACATAATATCGAAATTTAATTATAGTTATTCAGAATCAAGAGTTTTTGAGCAATTAACGCGTGTTTCAATCCGTCCTGTCCAACAATGTTCGCCTCGATATGATCCTGATTTTGTTCAGATCTCGGATAGTTTCATCGTTAATATGCGAGAAATTAACCCGTTCCGTAGGCGCTGCGATTAATAAAAATTACCGATCAACGTATGTCCAAATTATAATATGTATCCCCTACAATTGGTAGTATGCTTACCTATCATCGTTCTTCTTGACAATTTTGCTACTTATTAACAGTTATTAAGGATGACACATAACAAACCAACAATACAGAAAGACAGCTCATTTTAAACTCTACTTGATCGGAGAGCGTGCGTGTTTATATATGATCTAATATCTATGTTTTACTCGTTAATGTCCTATTTGTCCTATTATTATTTCTTGTTCGCTAATATATCCAAAATATCAAAATACGACTCGCTAAGTAACTCAGTATCTTTGTTTAAATTTAGTCCATTTTTTTGTTCCTTGATATGTAGCATCTCAGAAATGAGTCTTTTATAATAATTATTTTCGTTGTCCATGATCTTAACATTGTCCCAATTAAAAGTATGATGTTCATTTATTATGTGTTCAGAAATTACTGAATGTTTCGTTGAGTCCAACCTAATATTATTTTTATGTTCTTTTATTCGCGTCTGCAATTGCCTCTTGTTTGGCCTACATAAGATGCATTACAATTATTGCAACTGATCTTATAAACCACATTCGAATTGCATGGATGTTTAGTTTTATTTCTTTCTGCGCTTTAAAATAATATTATCCAGTTTGTTGAGACATCTATACCCTACCATACAATTTTTATTTTTTACCGAGGAAACAATCATTTCTGAGATCCCATCTATATACGGAATGACAAAGAATATTAGTAAAAAAACAGCGATACATGAATTCATCAAGGACATAGAGAGTAATAGCAAACGAAATAATATTAATAATCTCCACAACGATCAGAAATATCGCGGTTCCAAAATTTGCACAACTTCTGAACACGAAGGATAAAAATGACGTAAGTCAACAAAAATTACTTGGTGCACACAGAGATTTAATAAAATTTTGTAAAGACAATCCGAATGTTCTATTCACACGCGCGGACAAGGGTAATGCTACGGTGGCAATGGAAAGATCTCATTATATTAACAAAATGGAAAACGTTTTAAAAGATGTCAACACTTACACTATTGTTAAAAAAATCCGTGCAAAAAATAGAGAACGATTTGAATGATTTGTTGAAGAGATGGCTTAAGGAAGATTATATTTCAAAAAACGAATATTATAAATTACGTTGTAGTGATTCTCTCCTTCCAAAAGCGTATGGATTACCTAAAATCCATAAGGAAAACTATCCAGTTAGAATCATAGTTTCATCGGTTGATACAGCTCTATACTCGCTAGCTTCGTTTTTACAAAACACCTTACGAACAGCCTACCCAAAGCGAAAAGTCATATTAATAATAGTTTTGATTTGTACAGCATATTGTCTGGTAAAAAGATTGATGAGAATGATAGGATGTTTTTCCTTGGATGTGGTGTCTTTGTTTACGAACGTTCCTCTGGATCTTGCGATTGACGGTATTAACGATAGATGGGATCACATTGGAATAAATACTAAATACCGAAAAACGAATTTTTGGGGGGTATAAAATTCATATTGACTTCTACATATTTTACATTTGATGACATAATTTATAAACAGACGTTTGGGACCCCCTATGGGGTCACCGTTATCACCAATTATTGCAGACCTGGTTATGCAAGATCTTGAGGATACAGTACTCAAAGCGTTGAATTGGAATGTTTGTTTTATTTTCGTTATGTGGATGACATAATAGTGGCCACCTCTATGACTAATATGACTCAGATTGTGAATAATTTTAACAACTATCATGAAAGACTTAAATTCACGGTCGAACAAGAGGTTAACCATAGCTTGAATTTCTTAGACTTTATCACTAAATTTATTAATAACAAATATATATAGACTGGTATCAAAAAGAAACCTTCTCAGGAAGGACGTTATCATTTTATTCAAACCACCCATTATGCCACAAAATTGGAATAATATATAACCTTGTAGACAGATGTCTATTGCCATCACACATCCCTATTTTTTAATAAAAATTGGAGTTAATTATTAATATACTCAAAGCAATGGTTACCCTCTTGATCTGATTTTTAACAAAATAATCATCGGATAGAACACATCATATCTAAGGGGAGCATTATAGAGAGACAGGCCAACATAGAAAGAACAAAGTATAGGAAATGACTCGGTCAATAAAAAATTCTTTGTCATTCCGTATATAGATGGGATCTCAGAAATGATTGTTTCCTCGGTAAAAAATAAAAATTGATGGTAGGGTATAGATGTCTCAACACTGGATAATATTATTAAAGCGCAGAAAGATAAAACTAAACATCCATGCAATTCGAATGTGGTTTATAAGATCAGTTGCAATAATTGTAATGCATCTTATGTAGGCCAAACAAAGAGGCAATTGCAGACGCGAATAAAAGAACATAAAAATAATATTAGGTTGGACTCAACGAAACATTCAGTAATTTCTGACACATAATAAATGAACATCATACTTTTAATTGGGACAATGTTAAGATCATGGACAACGAAAATAATTATTATAAAAGACTCATTTCTGAGATGCTACATATCAAGGAACAAAAAAATGGACTAAATTTAAACAAAGATACTGAGTTACTTAGCGAGTCGTATTTTGATATTTTGGATATATTAGCGAACAAGAAATAATAATAGGACAAATAGGACATTAACGAGTAAAACATAGATATTAGATCATATATAAACACGCGCACGCTCTCCGATCAAGTAGAGTTTAAAATGAGCTGTCTTTCTGTATTGTTGGTTTGTTATGTGTCATCCTTAATACTGTTAATAAGTAGCAAAATTGTCAAGAAGAACGATGATAGGTAAGCATACTACCAATTGTAGGGATACATATTATAATTTGGACATACGTTGATCGTAATTTTTTATTAATCGCAGCGCCTACGGAACGGGTTAATTTCTCGCATATTAACGATGAAACTATCCGAGATCTGAACAAAATCAGGATCATATCGAGGCGAACATTGTTGGACAGGACGGATTGAAACACGCGTTAATTGCTCAAAAACTCTTGATTCTGATA